TTGGAAACAAATCTTCAAAGAATTAAGCTATATGTGTGGAAAAGATATAGAATGTAAGGCTGAGATTGCTTTGTTATCAATATATGAGAACGTGGAATATGACAAAATGACTAAAGAATTGATAACTAATAACAGCAGCTAGATTGATTATTGCTAGGCAATGGAAATTAAAGACTGAATTACAAATTGAAGAATGATATAAAGAAATATGGAATATAGCAATAAATGATAAATTAACTTGTAATTTAAAGATGAAGAAAGGAGAGTTTAAAAAGAATAATTTGTATGTAATATGGGGCAAATTTTTGGAATATGTGCTAATAAGGGGGAAAGGGAAAGCTCCAAATCAAGAATCTATACAGTTCTGGAGAAGAGGACAATAGAAGAAGAAGAAGGAGGAGGAGGAGGAAGAAGAAGGAGAAGAAGAAGAAGAAGAAGAAGAAGAAGAAGAAGAAGAAGAAGAAGGCAAGAGGTCCTGTACATGGTGGTGGGGAACACAGTTATTGTATTAGAGTTTATATGTTTTATGTATATGATTTTGTTTTTGTTATAGTTAAAAATTAAAAAATAATAATAATAAAAAAGAGAATAAACAAAACATTAAGAAAATAGGAACAAATTGGCTGGCGTAATCTCCAAAATCAGTCTGTAACTCTCAATCTTCCTGGTGGAGCTCATATCAAGAACCAGCATTCAGCTAGCCTTATTGCTGGTTTATTGTCGGCTAGCTAACACTGAAGCATTAAAATACTTATGCTTCAGCATAAATGAAAAAAAAAAGAAATACTTCAAACTCTGAGTTCTGATGGAAGAGGAATTGGATGGGCAGGTCTTATCTTTGTGGCACTGAACAGCATTAGGGGTATTGTAGTTTCCTGTGAGGGACCCTGTACAGAGCATAATCAGCAGAGATCACAATATCCCTAGTGCTTTGCAGTGCCACACAACTTAGCCCTGCCTAGCTAGTTCCTCCTGTGTTTGACCACAGCAATGGAAGGCTTTTTTTCTCATTTGTGCTGCAGTCATAAGTTATAATAAATACCTGAGGGGTTTTTTGGGGTGGGGGTCGCTGGCTGGGGCAATTCCAGCAGCCTTCAGGAAGTATAGTTCCAAATATATATAAAACCCCACCCCTAAATATTGGGCTTTAAATAGCAAAATATTTTCTATACTTTAGGAAGAGTTAGTTCAAATATATATCACATATACCAATTATATCAAATTCTAGTAGACATAATTTTGTCTTTCATACAGCAGGTAATAGTTGTACAATATAAATGCAGCATGGAGTCACGTTTTGTGGCAAACAATAAAGATAACAGAAAGGAAATTTAGAAGTGATTTAGTAATTCTTGTGACATCAACTCTGACTTATGGTGACCCTTTTCAGGATTTCCTAGATTGAAATTAGAAGTAACTTACTATTCTCTTCTTTTGGGGGTATCCTACATATTCATCAACTGCAGTTGAACACACTTGATTTTCTAAAGAAACAAGGTCAGTGGCTGCTGACCTCAACTGATTGCTGACCTTTATTACACTGGATACCTACCAAGACTGATTTATTAATACCAGATATGCTTGACTAAGCTGGAGTAATACCGGCAAGTTATAAAATATCTTTAAATGATATATAAGACACTATCAACATTGTCAAAACTGGATTCTACTCTATTGGATTTTACTCTGGAGTAAAGGAGGTTTGTTAAGTGGTGATGGCAAACTATAGCTAATTAACACAGTGCGGAATACATTCCTGTCACAACTAGATACATACTAACTTGTCACATGACCACCACCTTGATAATTACTTGTAGTTTGCTTCTGTATTTTCATTTTATCCAAATAAAATTCCAACAAGATTCTGGCCAATGAATAAATAATAGCATAATATTTGGTAAAACTTGTATGAAGAGTCACACTTATGTACTGGCATGCAGTGTCTGGAAATACTGTTTGGCTCTTACATCACAGCGGGATTCATTTCTTAACATATTAATACTGATTTTCTGAACAAAATCCTGAAGTTTTCTGAATTCTACTTACCCCGCTAACTGTGGGTCATTAATTGCACTTACCAATTTCTAAGATAAATGCATTAAAGCACTTAAGTCACTATTTCCCAGGAGGAAAATGTTGATATTTCCATAATTATTATCCTTTGGCAAGAAGAATAAAAATTATTACCCTAAAGTCTTTGATGGTGTGAAATGAATTTTGTGACTCACATTTCAAACATGAAAGGTTTGTACAGAAAGCTTGAAATATTGTACTGTGTCTAGAAGTGTTTCCAAGAGCTTATGATGATGAATGAAGCTTGCCTTTTTCTTCATACACAACTGAAAGAGTGCCTCAAGCTGTGCTCGTGTTTCTTCTGGCAACCTGCTGAGGCACTCACAAAGATAAGAGAGCATGGGAAAATTAGATTTTAAAAAGAAGCAAACTACATTCTATCTAAAAGAATACTTTTTTACAATTCAAATTGTGAGTTGCATCACACTGGGAATTTGTACATATTCAACAATTGTATTTTCACAATATATTTCTCTGGAGGGTCAGTGTGTTGCAGCTAAGCTGTTTAGTACAGCTGCTTACTTTTGAGGCTATATCCTGGTGAGCTTAAGGGATTCTGGGCTTTTTACTCCCTGCAACAGAGGTTAGGCAGCTGAAAAATTGTATAACTTCTGTACAAGAATTCCTCTTCTTTCAGGATACTGACTAGCAAAATAATCTCTTCCCTTAGAAATTTAAGCGCGGGTATGACTATTATTTCCTGTGATTCAATCTGTAGTGGGACAAAAGGAGGAAGGTTAGTCATGCTTGTATTTTATCCCTCGCTGCATCATTCCAGTCTGTCGGAGGTCACTGGTGTGGCAAATCTGCTCTGGCTTTTAGTCCAAACACTGAAAGGCCTATCAGAGGTGCTAAGCTTCTTTTAGTGGTTGAATTCACTACTTCGGATGGCTCTTGTAAGTTTTATAATTGATCAACTGGTATCTAGTCTAAGGTTTTGTCTTCCTCATGGAGATCAGCGAGCTTGGTATGTCTTTGCTTTTTTATGTCACAACTCATCATATAGCTGGAAGGGATACTAGGAAGTGTCATTTCTGGATGAGGGATTGATAATTCTCCCAAGGGGATCTGTTTAAGGCTACGATATCCTGCAGTTCCTAAAGCCATATTTGTGTTCACCCAAGGCACACTCCAAACTATGCCCACCTAAATTATGTGGCTGCCAAATGTGGCAACAATTGAGGAGAAAGTAATTTAAAGAGGCATATAGTGGTTTATTTCACGAGCCAGTGTCTAGCCTATAGTGGGTCCTAGTTCTCCCGAAACTAGTCTCTGGGCCCATCAAAGTTGCTCTTTACTGTTGCAAGAATCTTAAAAGTGCAGCCTTTGGGATGGTCTGACTCAAGAGAGGCCTTGAATGAGTCACATTGCCATAAGGAATTTGTGTGTTCCTATCCCTCTACAAGTGCTAACTCCATGGCCACTTCCAAGAGGCACTATCAGCTGAAATGAAAAACTGAGACAAGTATGAAAGCCGCACTTCCAAAGCTGGGGCCAGCTTGGGCAAAGATATGGCCTCAATATTTGCTTGGACAGCTGACTCCCACTATAGTGACCCTAATGCAGCTAGCAGCAGTATGTTCATATATACTTTGCTAAGGTCCCTTCTAGGATCAAAATTCATGTATCAGTGAAAGACAATAGCAGAGTCAGGGAAGAGGACAAATCTACCTGTGAAGGGATGCTAGGAGGCCTTAGGGTAACCCTACATGAGTCTGAGCACTTACCCCTAGTGGATCTCTGCTTCATTGAGAAACTATCTGCTCAAAAGGCAGTTCACACATTCTAATGGATTGAGATGGATCAATCCGTAAGTCGCCCTAGATGAAAAAGCTGGGAAGGAACTGGAAATCAGAATCTGGCTTCACATGGTCCCAATAACGGATAATAATTGCAGATTGCAAACTAAAGACAAAGACCAACTACGAGATTCCCTAAAAAGGAAGGCAGTATACTGTACGTATCAGCAGGACAGGTTTCTCTAGTCTTCCACCCACCCGAAATGCTCGTGTCTTCCTACTTGAGTGAGTGTCTCTTTTTTGTTTCAAGGCACAGCGATCTGACCGGCTACTCTCCAGAGACGCTTCCCCTCCCCCGACCTGCCCGCCCACAAGGCGCCTCCGCCCTCCACTGCCGCCACCCCTCCTGAAAGGCCCGGGAGTCTCTTTTCGAAACATCCGAGAAGCCCCTCCCCTTCCACCCGCCCACTGAATCCGAGGCCCAATCCGCTTCCCTTTCGTGCCGGAGGATTCCGGCTACGCCCCGCCCCTCAGATTTCGCCGCCCGAGCCCGTTGCTCAGCAACCTCGCAGCACAACTGGGCCCGGCCAACTCCGGCGGAAGCGGAAGAAGCTAGAGAGAGGATCCTGAAGTACTTCTGGGCGTCTGGCGCGAAAGGGCGGGGAGGGTTTGAACCGTTGGTTGGTCTCCTGGCAGCCGCGGTGGCCTCCAGCTCTCGGTTAGATCCTCCCTCACGGGGTTGGCAGGAGCTGCAGCCTGGCTCGGGTCCCTGTTGGGGAGCTGGCTCGTTTCCCAGAGCAAGAGGGGAAGGAAAAAGGCAGGAACGGGGGCGGCGGAGGAAGGCAACCCAGTTTGCTGTCCTCACGCCCCATTTTCTCAACTAGCGTCTTGCGTGCGCCCTCGCCCTGCTTGTGGGGCTGGGTTGTGCTCCGTTATGTAGGGCGGCCCCCCCCTTTTTTTCGGGCAAGGTTGAAAGCTGCCCCCAAAGCCTAGCCGTCGTGCAGAGCGTGAGGTAAATGGAGAGCATCCTTAGCGTGAATGGGCAGGAAGAGGCGGCGGCGAGGTTGCAGCCAGGGAGGGACTCGCACCCCTTGAGAGTCCATCGGTGGGACTTGCTCCCGAGGAAAATGCCACCAAGGCTGCTTTTTACCCCTGAAATTATGTCCATGAGTATTGGTCCCATTACACTTAAGGGAGCAAACTCTGAACTAGATATGCAGAGGGTGGGAATGAAAAGACCAGTATCTTAAGTGTTTCTGTTTGGAGTGAAGTACTTCTGGACGAAGAGGGGCTTATGTAGTTGTTAGGGTCGTGTCTTGAAGCAATGGTGCTCCCTTCACTATACCCCAAATCCTGAAATAATCCTGTAGATTTACACAGAAGTAAACCTCACAGGGTTTAACGAGGCTTACTTTGAGACGAGTGTGCATGGGATTGCAGGGTAGGCAATGTGGAGCATCCATCGTTTATCTTCACAATTAGAAGTTGGGGTTAAAATGTCAGTGGACTTTCTGGCTTGCTGGTTTGGTAGCTGCCTAACTGAAACTAGAAAATAATGTAATAGCAGTGGTTTTATGGACAGCACTCAGAACTAATAGAGGTAGTATGTTAAGAAGAACTGATTTGTGAATTTTCTTTTAAATTGGGACAGTTGGGCTATAAAAGTCAGATACCAGTTTGTGCACATTTAATATTTTACAGCACTGTGATATGGTTTTGCAGTGGATTAGTTATTGGCCACTAGGTCTGTCCAGGAGGGAAAAACTACACTGGCTGAAATTCTGTTTTTTCAACAAGGAGTCTCATAGCATTATGCCTCCTTAGCCATCTTCCCAGTCAGCAAATGTTGTTCTCAAATTTAATAATGTTGGATTAGATTTGGCCATGTTGTAGAATTCCTTTTTTTAACCTTAGTGTTGGGGAAGTGAGCTGTTGGCCATATATTAGTAGTGAAGGATGGGTGGGAGAAAATGTGAGCCCACTGATTTTCATGTTGCCTTCCACGTCTTTCTATGTCGTCTCTAAGGTACCAGCTTCCTGGGGAATTACACTTGTTATCTAAATTGATCATTTCTGAATGAAATTAGTCCAAGGACTAAGGTTGTCCAAAACTGTTGTAAAAGAGAAAAACAGTATTTAATTTTTTAAAAAACCAAAAACCCACATCTCGGGTATGATCACATGGGTTATGAGTGCTTTCCTTTTGCGTTTTGTAACTTGTGAAGATTTTTCTGACTCGGTGAATACAGTATATCCACATGAAGCAATACATAATAATATATGTTGTTAAAGTGCACTTTTTTCCCTTTTCATGTCTTGTCAGCTTCTGCAATCTCATTTCGGTTTTTGTGTGTTGTGTTTTCAGACCTTTAAAGTACATCTTTGCACTGGTTGTTGAATAATCACAATGAGTAGCGAGGAAGAAACATGGGAGAAACTGGATGCAGAATTTGATCATTATGTTGTGGATATGAAACCTTTTGTTTTGAAACTGTCTCATAAGTCAGGTAAATATTAGAAGGAAGTTTTAAAAATTTTGTTCTTCATTTTAAAGAAGCCTGTTTAAGCCCCATATAGTAAATGGATGTGGTTTTTTTATCTGAGTCTTGCTGATTACTCAGCTGCCTATGATTAATGAATTCAGGTGGGCTTACAATTCTCCTTTTTATTATTGGTTGATTATGAATAGAATTTGGATTAAAAATGGGATTACAATGCAGAGCAGCAATCCTGGAAGCCAAGCCAACCCCCCCCCCACCCCAATTCCTGGATTGCCACAGTGTTGTAGTCTGGGTGCCAAGTACACTAATTCTTTACACTAATTATTGTGCAGAGTAAGTCTAACATAGATTTTATTTATTTATTTGCCACCCACACTACCCAAAGATCCATTTTAGTGGATAGAGAGAGCGGGTAAAATAAATAATATTATTATGGACAACAGTAGTTACACCCACTGCTGTTTAATGGATTTGTAAGAAATTTTTCGGGATAAATGCTCCTTCCAAGATCACAAAAACAGAATAATTGAATTGGAAGAGGCCTATAGGCCATTGAGTCCAGCACTCTGATTTTAAACACACTTATGGGATAGTTAGCAACAAATCAGCTTCATATACAGTGGTGCCCCGCATAGCGAGGGTAATCCGTTCCGGATTAACCCTCGCTATGCGAAATCGTCGCTAAACGGGTAGGGGAAATGTATTGGAACGCATTAAACTTTGTTTAATGCGTTCCAATACCTTTGTTACTTACCCGTTCAGCGAGGATTCCAGGTGCCGGCAGCCATTTCCGGGCTTCCGGCAGCCATTTTGGAACCCCCGATCAGCTGTTCGGCGGCTCCCAAATGGCCGCCGCAATACCCGATCTTTGCCATGCGGGTTTTCCCCCTTGTGACGATCGGGGATGTTTCCGTATAGCGATCCCGAAAAAGGGATCGCTATACGGAAACATCGCTATACGGTGCACTCGTTAAGCGAGGCACCACTGTATTGTAAAGTTTATTTAGATTTGTCAGACTCCCAAAATAAATGTCTTTTTATTCAAATTTTACACTATTCTCATAGCTTTTTTATTCAGCATGCATAAGAAAATGTATACCCTACATACATCATTTTGATTTTTCAACTGACTTTTTGTGCATGGAAATTTCAGGGTTTTAGTGTCTTAAATGTGCTTTCCTGCTTAAAGTTTATGGTGAAATACTATAACAATGTAGTAGATTTGTTTCCTTTAATGTTTATTTGAATATATGGTTCATTTATTTCTGTGCAGAAGTACTTATTTATGGAAAAAGCCAGTGTTCTGACCATTGTAATTTCATCTTTCTTTCCCCCTTTAGAACGTCAAAGGTGTGCACTTTGGATTAAAAAACTTTGTGAGCCATCAGGTGCAGGCACAGGAGCTGTTGGTCGGAAGAACCGGAATTTGTATGCAAAACTGCTTCTACATATGCTGAAGAGGGGAGTACTGGAGGGACCCTTTACCCAGAAGCCAGACGCAGGGATACTGAAAACTCTTCCTTCTTACATGGTGACTATTTGCATTGCTGTAGCCATCAAGTTACTGTATTCTGTGTTTATGGAAATACAGAATTGCTAGTAGTTCTGCTGGAGAAAGTGGAAGTGGGCCTTCCAATGTACTCCTAAATCTAAATCTGAATATCTGGAAAAGATTTTGGAGGCGATACCTAGAGAGAACCCTTGTTGGTGGTGGGTGTCTACTGATGTGACATTGTATGTGTACTAATGAGCTTCCATTTGACATTAAACAACCTGAAATTTACTTGTTGATATAAATATGGATACAGGGTGGTTTGAAGAGCCAAATAGTAGTCACTATATGCAGTGCTGCTGTGCAATATTGAGTCAATAATGTTTGAAATGGAACTTTCAACACATTCATTTTTTTCTTAACATTTTGTTGCGTAGAAAGAGTTGATTGGATGTCTCCGCTCGTGCTGCTATGCAATATTGAGTCAATAATGTGTGAAATGGAACTTTCAACACATTCATTTTTTCTTGACATTTTGTTGCGTAGAAAGAGTTGATTGGATGTCTCAACTCACTTGTTCAACTGAGTTCAAACTGGAGAAATGAAAAAAGGAAAATTAATCGAAAACTAATATAATAGCAAACAAACAGGAACTATACTTCTGCTCTGATCTGTTGTAGGCGAGATAATTTAATCAGTTTCTAAGTAACCACAAGGTTCAAAAGATGAAATTACAAATACATGCTTAAGATTTTCCAAGTTTTCATAATGACAGTAGGATTCAGAGGTGCTAATGTGTTATATCTGTTCATAAATGTTGTATTCCTGTCACCACCTTTTGTGTATTCTGTGTGTAAGTTATAAGCGTATGCACACAGGCATATTTTTCTTTTAATATTGTAGCATAATTTATCTACTCTTATGATGAAACCTCTAACTAAAATTTAAGTAAGTAACCTTGGAGGAATTTGCACCTGATTCTTTAGGAATATACAAGTGTTATCCCCAAAGGTATGTTTATCATAGAATGGAGTATTTGTTCTCTCCCTAGTCTCTTGTTGCTTTTGATATGTGAAAAGTGCAACATATACATGTGATTAGGTAAAGGTTCCCCTTGACAATTTTTGTCCAGTCGTGTTCGACTCTAGGGGGCGGTGCTCATCCCCGTTTCCAAGCCATAGAGCCAGCGTTTTGTCTGAAGACAATCTTCCATGGTCACATGGCCAGTGCGACTTAGACACGGAATGCTGTTATCTTCCCATAGAGGTGGTCCCTATTGATCTACTTGCATTTGCATGCTTTCAAACCGCTAGGTTAGCGGGAGCTAGGACAAGCGACGGGAGCTCACTCCGTCACATGGATTCAATCTTACGACTGCTTGGTCTTTTGACCCTGCAGCACAGACTTCTGCGGTTTAGCCCGCAGCACCACCACGTCCCTTATACATGTGATTAAGAACCCTAATTTTCTAGCATTCTTCCTGGAAAGTGGAATAAGTGTGTGAGCAAGAATGTCTTTTCAGAGATGCATTACTTCTCACATGTTGAAAATTAAAACAGTGAGCGTAGGTACTACATGCTTACTTTTATGTATGGTGAGAGCATCCATGGAGATAATGACCCAATAATTCTTTCTTTTATTGATGTTAGCTATTACTGGAAGAGCTTGGGCAGACTGCTTTATGCCCACCCCTGGTGTGGAACTGGGAAAAATAGCGTCAACTCAACATTGCATTTGAACAGAGTATAAATATGTACACTAGTTTAGACTGGTGCATGCAGCCAATTCTTAATGGTGTTTTTTCTGCTTGAGTTTTAAAAGCAGTTTGGGAGTTTGACACAACAGTTGGAAAAACAGCAAAAATAATTTTTATGAGTATATTTTTTTTCTTGTGATCTTTCTGGAAATTAGGAACAGCAGTTTTGGATATGTGTTAGAATATAATGGGGGAAATAGAGGTATCAGATTACAGTAGTCAGTATAGCATTGGTAGCATAAATTGTTAGATGCACTGGTGTCTGATGATAGTAAAATGTGTACTGTATTACCCTTTCTGAAAGTCTTAAAGTTCTACATTTTCTGTCCATATACAGGAAATAATGTAGGATGGTGACCCCAATGAGTGTGAAATGGGAGGGGTTTATGTGTGCTAACGTCAGAGATAACACTAATATGGAATATGAATTGTTTAGCTGTCAGCTTCAGCTGACAGCTTTTTGATGTTTTGTTTCTGGTGTTAAACAAGTGGTAAAGGTGCTTGAGTTTAATTACATGGAGCACAATCTGAGACAGTTGAAATCAAGATTAGAGTCTTCAAAGGATAACAATTCACGTTTTTAGATCTATATGTTTTATGATAATCCTTATGTACTATTTTACAGAGTCTAGAAATGTATAGAGGTTTATAAGACAAACCTAGGGATTATTTGTGGAAACTTGAATCACCAAAACATATTTTTAAAATTTTCAATTTTAAAATGTAGTCTATCTACTTCGATGAACCAAATTCAACAAGAGTGCTGAGTGATAGCCCAGAAGATTTACCGGACTGGGTCAGGGGAGAACTGGGGCAAAGTGACTGCAAACAGAACGAGTCCTGGAAGCTTTCTTCTAGAGAGGAGTCTGCTGTGCTAACCTCACCACTTGTACATAGGTAAGAAGGGGAGATGGTGATAATGAATATTGTACTTAAATTTGTTTTGCCTTACTCTAAGGCAGAACAGACTTAAATTAGAGGGTAAGAAGGGGAGATGGTGATAATGAATATTGTACTTAAATTTGTTTTGCATTACTCCAACTCCTGCGACATTGCTGGAACCAGTTGTATTGGCTCTTGCCTTTCCATTGGACCATTTCAGCAATGTGGAGAGGGGGGATCTGCTGCTTGGGTAACAGCCTATCCTCCATATTACCTTACCCGGGCTTCATGCTCTGGAGAGGACACTCCTTGATTCAGAGCATGTTACCATAGTCTCTCGAGACTGAAGGATGCCTATGACTCTAAGGCAGAACAGACTTAAATTAGAGGTTTTTGCAGCTCATTAGTAGGTCAGCATGTTTCTGTTAATTTGTATTGTAGGAAATTTATTTATTTATTTCATACACTCGTGTAAAGGTTCCCCTTGACATTTAGTCCAGTCGTGTCTGACCCGTTTCCAAGCCATAGAGCCAGTGTTTGTCCGAAGACAGTTTCCGTGGTCCATGTGGCCAGTGCGACTAGACATGGAACACCGTTACCTTCCTACCAACGTGGTATCTATCTACTCGCATTTTTATATGCTTTTGAACTGTTAGGTTGGCGGGAGCTGGGATAAGCGACGGGAGCTCACTCCATTGCATGGATTCGATCTTATGAATGCTGGTCTTCTGACCTTGCAGCACAGAGGCTTCTGCGGTTTAACTCGCAGCACCACCATGTCCCTTTTGTACTTGTCTACCTCCCTATTATTGCTAGGCACTACTCAGTGCAGTTTACAGTTAAAGGAAATACAAGCTATAGAATATAACCTAAAAATAACAGTATAACCTAACATTAACAATAGGACAATAAATAATTAAGAATAGTCAAGATATAATCAATTGGTCTAACATAAAGCCAAAGTTAAACCAGACGATGGCAAGACAGGTGGCATAAGTATGTCAAGGCTCAAGAGTGTGCCCTTAAAGGCTTCTGCTAATAGCCTTGTCTTGAACTTCCCCTTGAAAGCTGAAAAGGAGGAGGCCTGGTGTAGCTCTACCAGGGTTGGGGGAGGCATTCTGTAAGGATGATGCCACAACTGAGAAGGTTTGATTTCTTGTTGATGTCTTCCTGACCTCAGCATGGTAGCATGACCTGTGAGGATTGCATGGCATGGGCTGGTGTTCTTAAGGAAAAGTGCTCCGATACGTAACAAGGTCCCAAGCCTTTAAGGAAAGGAACAGGAGTGTAAGTTTCCATGGGGCTCGGTACTAATTTGATGAAGATACAGAGCAGTGTGTTGTTCTTAAACTGCTCATTTTGTATCTTTTAAAACACAGGCTTATCTTTATATTACTGTATATGCTGCTCACCTTTATAGAGATGTTTTAATACAGTACATATTTCATGTGTCGTTTTGTTCATTCTTTTAATCACATTGAGAATTTTATAGCCCCCTGTGTATATACATGGAATATAAATAATTAAAAAGTGAATATGTCTTAAGTGCTAAAGCAGCAAAATCTCTATCTTTACTTCATGTTAAAAATACCTCCTGCGTTTTTACCACTTGGGGAGTAATTTATTTTATTTATCATTGCTTTGGAAGGCTTATTTGTTTGGTAGATTAATCTGAAAACTGGGATGAGGCCTAATTGTCCCTCTAGAATCCTCCAAAGGCTTCACCCTTCTGTTAATGTGCTGTGAAATGTGGTTTTTTTTTTTTTTGCAACTGCAAAATGAAAACAAATTGTACAAGGAGCATGGATCTTATTTTGAAAGAACAATCATTTTGTCTGCTCAGCCTTTGGCTGCTATGGAGAAACCAAGAAACATTGTGAAATGGGACGTGCCTTCTAGTCTCTGTATGGGTAATGCTTCTTTAAAGTTTTATTAGTTTTCTCATTATTGGATAGTATGTCCAGATAGAAAGTTAGGTATCTGGCTGCAGAGCAAGAGCTTGGGAGTTCTTATTTTGAAAGAACAATCCTTTTGTCCGCTCAGCCTTTGGCTGCTATGGAGAAACCAAGAAACATTGTGAAATGGGACGTGCCTTCTAGTCTCTGTATGGGTAATGCTTCTTTAAAGTTTTATTAGTTTTCTCATTATTGGATAGTATGTCCAGATAGAAAGTTAGGTATCTGGCTGCAGAGCAAGAGCTTGGGAGTTCAGTTCCCCACTGTGCTTCCTGTGAGTAGAGCCAGTCTGGGTGGCCTTAGGCAAGTCACACAGTCTCCCAGGACACCAGCAGAAGAAGGAATTGTATACTCCTGAGTACTCTTAATTTGGAGAACACTGAAAGGGATTGCCATAAATAAAAATTGACTTGATAGCACGTGAATACAGTGGTACCTGGCATAATGAGCGCCCCGTTTAACGACGAATGGATAGTGACCATTAATCTGGAACGGATTAACGTCGCTATGTGGGGCACCACTATATTATGACATATAGCTGAGTGATTTAGCTATGTGGCTGCAGTGCCAGAAGTTGGGAGTTTGATTCCCTCTGTGCCTCTTTGACAATGACTGGTCTCAATGAGCCACTGGGTCTTTTCTAGCTCTGAAGTTCTAAAATGATGATGATATCTACCCAAGGTTAAATTCTAGTTGGTGGTACATAATCTTTTTAAATAATAAATTACTCTTTTGTTTCTTTTTTTGTGTTCTTTGTAAAAGTTAAAAATGAGATTCATTTTACTTGCATATTTGGAGAGATGTAAAAATAAAAACTTAAGACAAATCGGTAAATGCTCATGTAGAGTAACTGAAGGATAATTCATGCCTGTCTATTCAAAAACATTCTATTAAATTCATTAGAATTAGTCTTAGATATTTTTTTGAGCTAAAAGATGACTACTTTTATCTGGAATCATTAGAAACGAATATATTCATAGTTGGAAGGCAAGTGGAGTTTGTATATGCAGTGCCTGGTTAGGACTCAGTTTCATTTAGTGTTTGAAGTATGGAGGAGAAAAGAACAAGCCCAATGTAGTAATGCTGCTTTATTTTATGTGAATAGTTTAAGACCTAAAATGCTTTTTTACTAAGCTTTAGTAACTGAATCTGCTCATTGTTATAGCCATTCTGGTTTCTGCATGTAGGTCACTAAAATAGTCAGCAGGTGGTGCTATTGTTGTGTAGAATATTGTTGTGACAAATTAATTTTCTTTTTGGTTTTTTTAATTAACGGTGGTGTCTGTATGTGTAATGGGATACCCAGTGTTGTGCAGTGCATAGAGTAATGGAGTAGGACTCAGGAGCCCTGGGACTGAATGTCGGCTCAGCCATGGAAACTCACTGGGAGAGAGGTGGGACTTGTAAAACCACTCCTTAAAAATCTCACTTACATTGAAAGCCCTATAAGTCACTTTTGACTTGATGATACTTTACAACATAACAGTAAGTGTAATATCTGCTACCTACTCTGTCTTCACTTGGGTTACTGTAATTTGCTGAAAATATTTCTGTTACATTAATAAATTGTAAATAGTAACATTTAATTGATTATGATAGTATACAACACTTTTTTGTTCAAATAAAAAAAATTGCTGAATGTAATTTAACAGAAATACTGATCTTTAGTTTGCTGCTTTTTAGCATTAATCATACATTAGGTCAACCTTCTCCATACTGTTGTCCTTCAAAGGGATCTATAGGTCCCATCTTCCCAAGACATCCTGGTCACAAGCAATGCTCACTAGGGAATTGGAGGCCAACTTGTCTGAAGGCCACAAGATTAATCTGGCCTAAACCACTCTTGATAAGGACAAACTGACCTGAAAAATAGGGAGAAAACCTTGTGTACTCCAGTTGTTTGAAGAGCCTCGTGGCGCAGTGATTAAACTGCTGTACTGCAGCCAAAACTGTGCTTATGACCTGGGGTTCAATCCCAGGTAGCCGGCTCAAGGTTGTCTTAGCCTTTCATCCTTCTGAGGTTGGTACCCAGCCTGCTAGGGGGAGAGCAATGTGTACCCTGCGTAATTGTAAACTGCCCAGAGAGTGCTTGAAGCACTATGGGGCGGTATATGAGCAACACGCTTTGCTTTGCTTTTTGTTTGGTGCTATAAGCCTTGCAAACTCTGGTCACTGTAGGTAAGTGGCCAGGGATAGTGGAAGTTGTAGTTCAGCAAACCAGGTGGCCTATGCCATTTTTGCATTCCCTGATTATATTGGGTCCCAGTTGCACCCTGGACAGATTCAGACTTGCCTACTCCTGCTCTAAACTATTCGTTCCCAAGGTTCTCAAATTTGTGAGCCCAGATCATGGACTGCAAGTCCCCAAAGCTATGAGTGTTGACTGTGTTTATTTCTAAGAGCTGTACTCCAAGAATGTCTGGGTCCACATGATGGGAGCTGTTATCCTAAAGGAAGAATGTACAGTTAGAGTGTGGTCTTGGAGGCATTTTTTATCCCATTTCATGCTTGGGCTAGTTGCTGCCCTTTCTGGAATGGAGTGACCTTGCTACAGTTCAGCCTTTGTACAGTGGTGCCTCGCTTAACGAGCGCACTGTTTAACAACGAATCCGCATAGTGACGCGTTTTTTGCGATTGCATTGTGATGTTTAGATAGGCATTGTGATGTTTAGATCTTCGCATTGCGATGTTTAGAAAACAGCTGATCGGCGGTTCCAAAATGGCCACCGGATCAGCAAAATGGCCGCCCGCAGCGTTTTCGCGCCCTGCCCTATTACCCAACCAGAGAAATGTTCTTAATATAAGAATGTCTTGAGGATTCTTCAGAACCATTGGTAGGTGTGCCATTCTGGCAGCTGGTCATTGCTCATTGTGCGAACATGTAATATAACGTTTAAAAACACAATTTGATGGTTATTCAGTTACATGTGAATGAGTGCCATGTGGAGACCAACAACATTGTCAATTGATAGTCTCTGTTTATTTGGAATCAATTACAGTACTGTACTAGTCTTCAACTACTTGGTACAATAGGATGATCAACCAAAATGTTATGGTTTC